GTGGTGAAGCTTACATGAGGGTCAGTCTGGGCAGTGGCGAGTTGGTGTAGATCCAGCAAACTCTGGTTCACATTCTTCTCCAGATCCAGGGCAACCTGCATTGCCTGCAGACTGTTACCCCACTCATCCCTCTCTGGCTTCTGAGAATGGAAAGAAGGACAGTTAAGCTTCAGAATCAGACACTCCCTGCAGCATGGGATCAGGCCATTCAGCCCATTGAGTCTACAAATCAACCTTCTGATGAAGATCTCAGATCCACCCAAGCCCCTGTAACCCTGCATGTCCCCCCCATGGCTACTTCACCTAGCCTGCCCATCTTTGGACTGTGGGAAGAAACCTGAGCATACACATGAAGAACATGTAAGCACCACTCAGTCAGAGGCCAGAACTAAACCTGTGTCCCTGGCACTGAGACAGCAGTGCTAACCACTGAGCAACTGTGCCACCCCTAAAGCCCAGATTAGTTACTTGATAAGTGACTTCACTTTGCTCCATTTATCCTCGATTTGAAGAATGAAGTTCAAGAACATGTCATTGTGGGGATATGGATTTATTTCCCAAAGTGAAATTGTTTGCACCAGTGTCCATCTGGAGTTTAGATCAGGACATTCACACCTTAATCCCAAGGGCCCTTGTGGTAGTGTACCAATCTGGGCCTTGCAGGCCAGACATGGATGTCTCACCTGTGCTCATTGTTACACATGTGTCTGAGCAGGATGATCAGGCACATCACTACAATTTAATTCATTGAAGGGACAGCAATGTTTACACAATAAAGGAACAAAGTACAAATGCCCAAGACCATAGATCCCTCAAGGTTCAGCAAAGGTAGACAGAGTGGTGAAGGGGGCTTACGTGATGCTGGTCTCCATGAATTGGGGCTCAGTAAAGGGACAAGTCTTGTCAAACTTGGCAGCGTTAGACAGGTCAAAGATGGAATGTAGTGTGGTGACCAGAACCACACTCAGAAGGACAGGATGGCACTGGAGGGGGGAAAACAGGTGAGGGTCGCCAGGATGTTAGCCCAAGATGGGAAAAAAAAACAAAAACAATGATGAAAGAGAGAGGTTGGATAGACTGGGATTTTCATTGGAGCAGAAGAGGCTGAGGTGGTTATCTGAGCGAAGTATGGCAGATTGGAGAGTGTGGACAGTAGACAGACCCCAAGGCAGACACGAAGACCAGAGGGCACAGGTTTGAGGAGTCAGCAGGTTAGAGGGGATTGGAGGAAACCTTCCCCCTCACAGAGGGTGGGAGAAATATGGGATGCATCACCTGAGGGGTCAGTGATTGAGACAGCTACTCCAGCAACATTTAAGCCTAATCTAGACAATTTCTTCATGCCAGATCATAGTAGGCTGTGGACCAAGTGCAGGTAAATGGTATTAAATGTAGTTTGATGTTGGTGGTCAGCATAGACATGGTGGGCAATAGGGCTTGTTTAGAAACTGCCTTCAAAGATCAAACAGAGAAGCCAGGCCAAAATATCCTGACAGGGAGTGAAAAGTTGTGAAAATCCTGTCATTTGACAGAAAGCAGCACAAGAGCAGCCAT